CATGTGTGAGCTGCTGCACATAGAGGCAAGGATGTATCGTGCAAAACATGCCCAAAGCGCGTTGTGCTCAAGGCAAGGGCACATGAAGCACGCACATCATGCATTGCTGCATGTGATGATGCATGGTAGTCGCACCACCATGCCGTAGGGGCAGGGCATGGCACCAATGATACACTGTGTTGCTACATGTGACAACACACGATGCACATGCAGCTTGGTATTGCTAAGGAGTAGGAGAGTGGTGTGGTGCCAAGGAGAGCTATAAGAGCATCGTCGTGGAAACGACAATGGAGTGACAGCCAAGGAGACAGCAACCCCAATAGGAAAACTTAAAAGGGTTTTGATACCATGAGGAGAGAGAAAATAATATTCAATTATGTAAATAAGGCAGAAACCCTATACATACAAGGGTGAGGAGAGAGAGAAAGTGGGCAAGTCCCATAAACAGATATATATATAGATATATATATCTACACTAGATAATAATATTCATATGCCCAAGTACTCTTACATCTTGCACTATTGAGTCCTTCTAACTCAATGAAGATCATATACTACACTTTGGTGTTAGGCATTCCTACTAGTTTATCTCTCATGCATGAGATATGAGACAAGAAAATAAAGTTGGGGTGTCCCATGATTATAGTGTTAATGCGTGTGGAAGAGGAATCATAAAAGTTAAAAAAAATGTGTTCAATTTTCATTCACCTTCACCCCCCAACTTAAAACCGTCATTATCCTCAATCACATAAAATATTTGAATAAAAAATGTCATATAGAGATGTGAAATATGAAATATAGAACTTCAGACAATTATGGTTGTTGCATGTTTCCTTGCATTCTCCCCTTTTATGTAAGTGGAATTCCTACATTACTAAATATTAATGCAAATAGAAATAACAAAAAGTAAATAAGAAAAAGACTCAAAGCATAAGGTTAGGTTGCCTCCCAACAAGTCCTAGTTTTAGGTATTTAACTAGACAAATCTTTTACCCTTGGATCACTTAAAACAAATTATCTCCTTGTAAGTCAAAGGTTCACTTTCCTAGTAAAACTTAAGTCTTTGTCCATCAACCTTAAAATTTTGACCTGTTAGCATATATTAAATTAATAAAGCTCAATGATCTTCTACTATGACTACAATATAAGGTTCATTCCATATGAACTTCAACCTTTTTCAGAAGAGGTGAAGTTGAGAATTATAAAATTAAACTTTTTGGTTAGAAGAGAAGTTTTACCTATGAATGTATTGATCATGAAATACTTTTGTTTTGGTCTTATAGATTTTGTACATTTTAGCATGCTTCATTTCTATTTTCTTTTAGTTCTTGTAGTTGCAAGGTTCAATGTTGACCTACCTTAGCTAAACCCATGATCAATTATTTTATTGTCTATTATGCCTTATGTTCTAGTTTGACAAGTGACATGGTTTTTCAAACACTAGCCTAAATGGAGACATCAATTGATGTCTTGAATGTTATTCTCCTAGTCCATAACTTAGCATTTAAACACAAGGCAAGTGACATCCTTGCAAGAAGGCACATCTCAAGCAGAGGAGTTGCAACATCATTTGGAGAGAGGAACACTCAATTGAGGAAAGAATCTTTGCAATGACAGACAAAGGCATTGGAACTTCAAAATCTACTAGACAAGAACTTGCAGTTCATTTTATGAAGTTAGAAGAGATGCAAAGGAAAACTAGCAACAATGTTAGCTAAGTATATACATCGTTGGAAGAGTAAGAGAGAATATTCAAATGTTAGCTAAGTATATACAGCAATTAGAGATGAGGCCCCACAAAGCCTAGGATTGATGATGCATCAAAGGTCGACAACTTTATTTCAGACCTCGGGGAATACCCAAGAAGACCATGACATAGAAGATGGAGAATGATTGAGAGTGGCTAGCATATTCCTCACATGAAACACAAAGATCTGGTGCCACTCAAGGAGAGGAGATCCGTCCAAGAATTGGGAACCAGACCATAACTCTTCCTACTTCACCCTGACTTTTAGAGGTGATGCCTCAGCTCCACAAAACAAGATGCCTCAATTGTGGAGGACCACATAGCTAGAAATATTGTCCAAATGATTAACCAACAAATGACACTAGTCCAATGTAGTAGTAAATCAACAACAGTTGACTCAAGAGGAAGAGAGTGGGGAGGGACAAGATATGGAGGTGAATAGGTTTCAATTATTGAGTAACCTCAACCTACAAGAGCTACACCAAAGCAATGAAAGTAAAAATAGTCTTCATCAAGACACAGGTTGCTGGAGAGCTGGTGGCAGCTCACATTAGAAAACATAATTGTCAAATTTAAGACAATGGATTGTACAACTAAGCCATTTGCATGAATAACAAGGACAATACCCATAGAAGTGAGAAGATGGAAAGGTCACCTGGACTTAGGAATTAATATATAGATGGTCAAGAAATTCTTGGAAGAGTATATGGGTCAACTACCAAACCAATTAACCCTCAAACTTCTGTTGCAACGAGAGGTAGACCATGCCATCGACTTGGTCCCAATCACAAATTTTGTGGCTTAAACACTATACATATGCCATCACACCACTTGGTTGACCTTTGAAAACAATCTAGTACCTATTAGAAGCAAGACAATTACAATTGTCTAAATTTCTATTTGCTGCCCCATGCCATTTCAAGAAAAGAGGGACATAACCCTTAGGCTATGCATGAACTACCACAAGTACTCAGTGTCCAATGTGGAGAATCTCTTCAATCGTTTGTGAGTGTTCGGAATCTTCTCAAAATCCAACATAAAGAGTGGATATCACCAAGTCTAGTTCAGAGAAGATGATTAAGAAAAGATGATGTGAGTAACAAGATTTGGGCCACTCAAACTCACAGTGATGTTGATTGTCATGCTCGTTTCACTAGACAAGTTTAGAAGGTGTTGTTTGCCAAGCTCAAAAGACGACTACACTTTTTCACAACCTATCACCAATAGATAGATTGGTAGACTAAGTGCCTCAGGACACTGGTGGAGAAATACCATATGCACTCCATAACATCATCACAAAATGGTTGGGCAGAATTGCTTGACACTACACAACTAGCATACAACTTGTAACATAGCAACATCATCAACTATTCCCATCTGAGCTAACAATGCCTTAAAGGAATTTTCAGTAGCAAAATTTTCTGCTGCTATAATGAATGTGTCTTTAAGTAGAAAAGAATCAACTATAGAACTATCTTACTAACTTCAAAGGAGTACATCAAGATGGTCTACAAGAATTCACCTTTTGGAAGTGCCATCATTTCATGTTGAGGTCCCACATGGGCTTATTGAATGTCTTCACTACTTTAACTACTTTGACTTTTCTTGTTTCTCATTTTTTAGAATAATTGTAATGAAACTCAAAATCAAATATTTGATTTATGGGAGACATAGCAGGTATGCTGCCCAAAGAGGACATTCACACAAATCACATATCTTCTGGACTTCACAATTTGGTCCCCATGGCCAAAAGGAAAGATTATGATACCAAATGATAGAGCTTTGAGAAATAATTTGAAAGATAATTGGGAAAGGCACAAAACACAATAAACAACTTATCAAATTTTGATGATTTAGATTTTTTTTGATTTTATGAGCATTTAAAACACTCAAGGGAAAAATGATCCACATTTCTAACTTGTATCAGTAAAATGATTTTTAGTTGCCAGATGATGAAATAATTATGAGAGCATCATTGAAAAGTATATTCAAATGACACAACACATCCAACAATGTTAAAATTTTATTTTTTTGAACTGTTATGAATTTTACAATACTAACAGACCTATATTCTTCATATTTCCAGGCGTGTGGCCTAATAAGGGCCGCTCAACAAGCCATCGAGAAAACCGATACAGACCAATAAATTATTGCATACTGATAAACTATGCTTATCGTGATTAAGGAGACAGGAAGAAAAGCAGAAGGAAAAAGCTGCTCGTGACCCCACTCTCTTCCCCTTGGGAATCATAGCTTGATCCCCATCCTAAGTGCCTGCAGACCTAGAAAATCTTTACTACTCAGCCCTTCACCAACTCTCTCCTACTTTTCAAGGCTTCCGTCCTTCTAGAGAAAGAGTCCTCAAGCTAAAGATCATTCATGCCATCTGACACATCCAATGAAACGTGCATGAGGAAAGTGGTACAGCAAGCAGGCAATTGCACGGCAACCACAGAGAAGGCATGCTCTAGAGCACAAGACATTACTGTGGATGCCACTCTCAAGGGCGGCATCCCGGATAGATGGAAGGCATGGGGGCACAATGCCTGCCACAGTGTGTAAGGTGGAGTCAGCGATTGGTATAGATAGGGAATGCCGTGATCTAAAGTAGAGAGAGAATGCCAACCGAATTCCAAGGGAGTTTTCTACCCCTCTTAGGAAAGACTTGGACTTCTTCTGGCCAAAAAATGTCCTTCCGACTCTTGAGAGCATGGGTGGGTGAAGCCTTGGAGTCAACAGCTTCAGGGGTCTATTCAAGAACATCAGCCCAGCCTGCAGTTCTAGAATTCTCTTAAAAGTTTGCAGAGGCCTGAGTTGGTCTTGCACTGGGAAAACATGCCTAATGCTGTGGTGGTAACCTACTAATGGAAAGGGAGATAGAATCCATAAAAGTTTGAAGCTGACCTCCCGACACATGCACAGTGGGCTGTTCAAAATAAGTGTGATCTGCTCCTGGTCCTGAAATTTCCCACTAATCAATTGAGCTGGAAGCAATGCACAAGTCAGCACACTACAGAAACTGAGACGGGATTTCGGAACAAGCAATGAGAAAAGGTGGTCGAAATTCTTTCATAAAAGAGTTCCGAGGAGTTTTCTTCAAATAGGGTAAGAGACATCCATATAGAAAAAGCTGAAAGAGGGAAAACAAGAGACAAATAATTAGGGATTTTGGTATCCAGGGAGGATGCACTGAAAGCCTTTTGCTGCATGCATGATAGTGACAAGGATTCGTACCAGAGTACTTTACATTCATCTAATAGTTGAAGGATCCCTTCACTCCATCCAGGCTCTCTCCAATCGATAACCTAAAATGGATAATTTATAGAATTAGAGTTGGTAGCTCCAAGAGAATTATCACAGTGACAAAATTTTGAAGGACAAATCAAGAGTTTAACAATCATAGCGACCCAGCAGGCACGAAAAACTGAATCTTATAGATATGGCAATACAATAAGCAACATAGTCCAAAGGCATACTGAATTACACAACTTCGCACTTTTTTCATGTTTTGATATCAAAAGGCAATTGAATTTCGGCATAGATGCCTCATTTCTTAGCTAAAAAGTAAAAACAAATCTACAAATGTGATTATTTTAACTTGGACATAGATCAAAGCCCTAGGGTAACGAAATTTGGAGAAAATAGTTTAGAAAGAAAGCTCAGGTTTTCTAAGCAACTGAAAATTAAAGAGAATAAATGGAAACTGTGCTTATTTTATGAAAATAATATACTAGTAGTACTCCCAATTTGAAGATCAATTGGATTTATAGAGCACGAACAAAATGAGACTAGGCACGAAAACACAAAACAGGTCGCAGAACTGGTAGGCTGCGAGCTAGTCAGCACCCTTTGAGCTGTGTACAACGAAACTAGCTGCAAACGCGTCATCCAAGGAACAGAAGCTCATTTTCATCTAATGGCAAGCATGTAGCAAATGTTCTATCAAACACAGTGGTCAGCTACCGCTATTAACTTGAGTATCAAAAGAATTTACATGAGACAACAGGAGATTTTTCATCTTATAAGCATCACGCATGGGAAATATGTTTTCAATGAAATAACTCTCGCCTGTATTAGAGCAATGTTCATAAGCACCTGCGGCTTCACAAATTTACATGCTTACTATCGAGTCAATAACTTCCTGAGACACTTGAACAGAAGGGAGCAAATAAAAGCATTTTTAGTTTACATGTCAATGGTTGAGATTGCTATTAGCATTGCAGTATACAAAGTCCCAAGATTTTGAGTATGCCTTTAGAATTACAGCAAAGCAGCTTCATGTTATCAATGATGAACTGTTTTCCTTCCAGTAGAATTTCTCATGACTTGGAAGACAGAATAGATAGTCACTTTTAGAATGCATGGTTCATTTCTTATCAAACAGGTGATTCCTAGACTTGGGTCTTTGGACGTTCAAAAACAGAAACAATCCAAATCATCAGCAACCAAAACCGTCGATCTAATTTCTTTTGCCCATCTGTCCCAAACCCTCCAAAATCACCGTTCACTCATCTTGAAGCTTAAAACGATCTCGAGTAATCCCAGCGAAGCGAAAAGGATCAGAGTTTCAGCGCACAACCTAGATGGATAACAAGTTAGATTTATCCTACTTGTGCATGCAGTACTTGTACTCCTGGCCTCGAATGTAGTCGATCTCCCCTTCTTCCAACTGAAAAGAGATTTCAGAAAAGAACAAGCACCCAGACAGATAGTAACAGAGTATCTCAGAATCATGGCACCAACCCGAGCAGAGAACCAGCAAAGTGGCGAGATATGATTACAGGCTCACCGGATCACTGCCGTACACTAGCTCGTAGCAGGTCGGCGAGAGGCAACGGAGCGCACAGTTCTCCTTGGAAACCGTGGAGGATCTGCACTGCCAACCCCACAGACCACTTCTCCCACAGACCACAGACCACGAAGTACGGGCATCAGAAATCAACAAACAAAACTCATCTCAAGAGATGGCACGAAAACATAGCAGCCGCGAGCGTACGGGGAATCAAACCCACCTCTCAATGTCGGCGTAACACGCGTTCTTCTTCTCCCTGATCTCGGCATCCTGAGCAAAACAAACGGTGGGATAAGAAGACCGTGAGCAGCTGAAGCTGTGAGAGAGGAGAGAGAGAGATAGAGAGAGAGAGAGAGAGCAACCGTAATCGGAGAGGGAGATTTCGCCGACACGCCCCAGAGCCCGGAGCAGAGGAGGACGACGACAAGCAGAGGCGCAAACGCCGCCGCGGGCGAGATCGGGCGTCCACTCGCCATGGAAGGGAGAGCCCAATATCCCAAACCGACCTCGTCGCGGCGGAAGGGGAGAGGAGGAGCTTGGGGACCTTTCAAGAAGTCTGAACCGGGCAGGCGCACCGGCTTGCCAATGAACCGGGCGGGTGAGTCAAAAGCCCCAAGACTCCGTCCGGCCGTCACGTCTGCTTCGTCGTCCTCCCCAGCTCGATAGCCTTGATGAGCAGGCGGGTCCTGGGCTCCGGAATCATCCCCTTGGACTTCATTTCGGCGTAGACCTGCCGGGCCTCGTCTAGTCTGCCCCGCCCGCGGAGCCCGTGGATGACGACGGTGTAGGAACGCTGGTCGGGCCCGAGCCCCCGGTCCTCCATCTCCGACCATATCGACGCTACGCCCCTCCGGTCGCCCCACCGCACGTACAGGTTCAGCAGCAGGTTGTAGGTGTCGGCGTCGGGCTCGCAGCCGGCGCTCCTCATCCGGGAAACCATCGCCGCCGCTTCGCCAGCATCCTTTGCAGCCTTTAAAAAGTACGTGAAGGTCCTGGCGTTTGGCGCGCATCCTCCCCGCCGCTGCTCCATCTCTGACAGGAGCGAGCGGGCCTCCTCCATGCGACCGATCCCGCAGAGATGCTTCAGCAGGGTGTTGTAGGTCGCCGTGTCGGGCAGGCATCCACGCCCGTCCATCTCCCGGAAGACCTCGAGCGCCTCGGGGATCCTCTTCTTGAAGCACAGGGCGTCGATGATGCAGTTGCAGATGGCCACGTCCGGGCTGCAGCCCTTCGCCCACATGGCGGTGAATAACTTCACGGCGGTGCCCAGCTTCCCGGCCTTCGCCAGGGAGTTGATGAAGATGCCGTAGGTGTACAGGTCGGGCTTACAGTCGGAGGTGACAATGTCGTTCCAGAACCGCTTGGCCTCCCGCAAGCTTCCCAGCACGCACCAGCCATTGAGGATTATGTTCCTGCTCCGAATCACGGGGGGGAACTCCGCCCGCTTCTGCAAAAAGAGGGCCTCCGCCTCCTCGACGTGCTTGTACCGGCAGAGGGCCGTCAGGAGCTTCTGGAAGGCGCTCAGGTCTAGGTCCAGGCCGTACTCCCTCCTCTTGTAGAACACCTTGATGGCGTCGGCGACCTTGTGGGCCGCCGCGTACCTGTTCACCAGGACGGCGAAAGTCTTCTCGTTCACGATGGGCGCAGAGGGCTCGTGCGGGATCCCGTCGAACAGCTGCCGCATTAGCTTGATCTGCTTCATCCTCCCGAGAATGTCGAGCATCTCGTTGTACGCTCTAGATCCGTGGGAGTAGCCCTCTTGAACGGAGGCCCAGTCGAAGAAAGACGAGGCGGCCTTCCAGTCGGAGCGGTGCCGCCGGAGGACCTCCAGGACCAAGCGCTCGGACACGGAGAAGCATTCTCCGCCGAGGGCCGACTGCAATCCCAAGCTGTCTCCGCGGGATCTGAGGACACTCTGGATTAGTGCAGCTTCTTTCAGAACGAAATCATCCTCCTCTGCGGAATGATCAGAGTCTGACGCAGGGTGGATCTCGCTTCTCGATCCTGGGAGATCAGCATCCAGGTTCATTGTTTCCGGACTCCTGCGCCCTCCGTCGCCATGAAACCTTCGACGAGGTTGAGGAGAGAACGAGAAATTACGCTGCATCGATTGCCATTTTCACCATGAATTATGCAACAGACAAGCATCGTCGTATTTGCAAAGTACGAAGCGCATCTCCTGATAGAACATCTTATTAAGCGCGATGAAAGATCTTCACCGTGCAGGTAGAGGATTCAACAGCAAAACCAGCAAATGTTCGATGCATTGTCAAATGGAATAAAAGGAATCGACACTCTGAACCACGGAAGGAAATCAACTGTTGAGAAGATATTACACATCCCATTTGCTCAGTTGCAACGGGGAATATCAAGCAAGGAATGAAATTCGAGAAAAATTTAAACCGCAATGCGACGAATGGAGCAGAGAGAATCAGCATCGTATCAACGCAGACGAACGAATGATACGCAAAGCGGCGCGACAGCGTACCTTCTCCGTTGGGCAGGATGGAGCACCCGAGCATCGACCGAGCACTTCGTCGGCAGGGCGGCTCGAAGCCGAGAGAGAGAAGGGTGCCGCAGATAAAATTTGAACAAGGCTAAGCGGAGGAGAGGGATCGGACGAGGAGAGCCGCCTACAAAGCCGGGGAGCGACCTTCAGAGGAAGCCTGACCATCGTCTCTGTGGTTCTTCTTCCTCTTTTTCCTCTTTTTCCTCTTCTTCCTCTTCTTCGCCTTCTCTCCTCTGCTAGGGTTTGGGAGTGGAGTGAAGCAGCGCACGAGGGATCCCTCTTTTCCTATTCCTTCCTCGCCGGAGTCGGTCTCCTCTGCTAGGGATTGCCGGCGCTTCGGCAACGAGTCGATTCGCAAGATTACGGCTGAATCGATTCGGACGACGGAGTCGGAAGGAAATCGGGCGATCCAGAAACGTCCGAGTCCAAATCTACCCAAACTACCTGGGAGACCCAGTGGGCAATTTTCTCGTTGTCTGACCCAATAACAGTTGGGCCAAGCCATTTTATCTGCGTCCTGGCCCTCCCCGTGTAAGCAACATTGCCAGAGGCCCGAAAGCCCGTTACCGTGAGTCCCACTTAACAGCATGCGTTGACTTTTTATCGATTATGAGATACCCCTTTATTTCTCCTTGTTCCGTCATTTCCTCATAAACATGGAATGAGCATCTGCTTAACTACTATATTTGGGATTAGTCAGAAAATTGTAGGAAATTTTTGTTGTCAGCCTTCTTCAAGGTTGACCATGATAAAGTCAATGATCCCAACCACATCGAGGAGTCTTGATTGACTAAGATGTCCCCTTGGAAAACTAGTTGCATATCCCGTAAGGAAAGTTAGGTGTACTGACCTTCTAGCTGCACGCCACGGGGTGCAGTCAATATGTAGAACAGGCCCTTCATGACTTCTCCCAGGAAAGTCAGACCAATGAAAGATACTACCGTCCAACTGAGAGAGAGAGAGAGAGAGAGAGAGAGAGAAGGGGGAGGGGTCGTTTACTCAAGACGACGATGCTTCGGGGTTTTTTATTTTTAATCAATATGCCGGCACCGATCTATTGAATAAAAAATGTTGTTCTCAATGGATGTTCCCATTTGTAAATTACCGAAAAAATGAAAATATCCAACCTTCCACCGTCCTCGTGTCTTCTCCACGCCCGTGAGTTCGTTTGCGCGTCTCCCCGGGCGCGGCATATTCCCCCTTTCCAGAAGTCAAAGTTAAAATGGATGCCTCCAGAGAGCTGCGTGCGTGCCAGTGCGGATCCGGCCGCCCAGCCGCCCAAATTGGCGGACGTAAAGGGATACGGGAGAACGAACCCTCTGAAAGGGAAAGACTATGTGGACGCAAATTGGCGGACTCTGCCGTCGTCTCTGAACATTAGAATTGTGGGGGGGGGGAGAGGAAGGAACGTATCAGGAACAGGAATTCCACGCAATCCTGGAATTTGGCAGGAAGGAAGAAGGAGATGTCGGAACAATCGGGAAATCGTCGCGATGACGTCATTGGCGAGGCAGAACCTGGAGGCTTCTCAAGCTTTCCCGAGGTCCCCGCGGCTGGGTCTCGGGAGAACGTGGAGACCCACCACTTTCTTCCCCGGCGGCAGGTCGACTGCCCACATCCTCGCCGGCCGGGACGACACGTCGACCACCACGAGGGCCTTCCCGCCGGAGCAGGCCACGCAGACGCGCCCGCCTCCGGCGGTCACGTGTACCGCCTCGCGCAGCAGCTCGGAGCGAGCCACCGGGATCCACCTGTCATGGAACCAGTCGTAGGCCTTGAGAACTCCCTCCGCCTCGTCGGCCACGTAGATGGTGCCGCCGGGGGAACCCGGCTGGTCATCGTCGTCCTCCGCGGCGGCGACCGGGCCTGTCCACCCGGCCAGTAGCCCGCGCGGCATATCCTCCCACCTGTCGGCGGCGATGTCGTAGACGGCGCCCTCCTTGGAGGCCCTCCCTCTGACGTTGACTATGCAGAGCTTCCCCGAGGAGGCCACAGCGTCAACCGCCTCCCGGCTGAACCGGCCGTCCCGCAGCGGAGCCATCTGCTCCCAGTGGCACACGCCGTCGCTGGAGGCGGGATCCCACCGCTCGACGGACCGCGCCACGTCGGCGCAGTACCCGTGGCCGACTCCGCTGACCACGTAGATCCGGCCGCCAGCGGTCCCGGCGGCGCACCACCGGCGAGGGGAGCGGAGGGGCGGCGCGAGGTGCCACTGCGATGTGCCCGGATGGAAGACGAGGGGGCGGGGGAGGGCGGGGAGGAGGGAGTGGGTCGTGGCGGCGAGAAAGACGAGGCGGCCGGCGGCGGCGACGGATTGCACGGGGAGGGAGCGGGAGAGGAATCCCGGGTGGGAGAGGAGGAGGTGGCGGAACTGGGGATGGTGAGGGACGGGCCGCCAGGCGGCGGCGACAGGGTCGAAGGTCTGGAGCTCGACGGCGGCGGGAGAGGAGGCGCAGGAGAGGAGGGCGTAGAGGGAGAGGAAAGGAGGGAAGGAAGGGGAGTAGAGGAGCCGGCGCCAGGACCGGCAGACGGCGAAGAGGACGCGAGGGGGCAGCCGGGTGAGGCACAACTGCGCGATGTCGTCGGGCAGCCCCGGAAGAAGAAGGGGGGCCTCCTCTCCCTCACCCTTTTCTTCCTCCTTTTCCTGCTCCTCTTCTTGCTGCTGCTCCAGCTCCTGATCGTAGAAGCGCCTCAGCTTCTTCTGCTGCTGTTGCTCACGGAGATGGCGGTTGCTGTACATCGTCATGTCCGGCGACGAGAAAGGGAAGGCAACGGGGGCGGCGGCGGCGGCGGCGCGGCAGGCCATTTACATCCCCCCCTGGGCTTGTTCTTCTTCTGCCCCCTTGTCTCTCTCCGCTATTCGTCAGTCTCTCTCCCCTCTCTCTCCTATCTCCGGTCGTCCTGTCTTGCCTCTGCGGGGTAAATGTATGGGTGGCCGGCCGGAGCATTCCCGTGAGTCGCCGCGGTGTGGAAAGGGGGGTTTTCGGAAAGTAGACTTCTGCTTTCGGCATTCACTTCTCCCGGTCATTGCGGAGTCGCTAACGCTCCTTCGAGGAATTGACCACCTTGCCCCCCTTATTTGACCAATCGCCGGCTAGCAACCACTTCCGGCCAATCCAAGAACCCTCAAGGCGGTTGAGCCGAGATAGAGAGCAAAGGACGAGTGCGGCCGATGCTGACGGTGGTGATGACGATGCGGCAGCCCATATGTCGCTAGCCGCCGCACTTGCCTTTTCGACTTGGGCCCACCTGATTCCAAAAGGACGTTTGGCTGTTTCGGAATTTCTGGCGAAAAGTTGTGACGAGACAGACTTGAGCAGCACGCCAACCACCAGAGGATGGTGCGCGTGGGTGGGGCCCATTGTGCCCTCTTGTGTGCAATTGCCTTCCCTGCGCGGGAAGGGAGGCGGCGAGAGAGAGCCATCTCCGTCGGAAGTGGGCGCTGTGTGGGTCCCACTTCACGTGGTCGCACGAGAAGACACGACAACACTAAAAAAGCCTTTTTTGTCCTCTTGCGCCATTGAAAAATATGAAAAAGCTAGTCTTTGGGATAAGGGTCCTCCTCTCAGGAGGGTCGGGTAGGTTCCAGCCTCTGGGATTCCAACGAGGAGAAAAAATGGCCTTTCAGAAATCGAGAGGGCAAGTACGAAATAATTCGAAATCAACTTAATTTTCTTGGATTATGTTCATTATCCCCCCCCCCCCCAGCGCATCCACCTACTAACGGAATCATCAGCTCTCCGAATCTTCTCCTGTCTAGCTTACTCCTTCCATCCATGCAAGTTGTTGAGCTGATCATACTTAGCTTACTCCCTAATTTGGTAAGCTCTCTCTCTCTCTCTCTCTCTCTCTCTCTCTCTCTCTCTCTCTCTCTCTCTCTCTCTCTCTCTCTCTCTCTCTCTCTCTCTCTCTCTTTGCGCACATGTCACATAACAAGAGAGCGGGGGATTAGACTGGGTATCGTATTAAGTTGGAGAACTGTAATACTTTTGATATACAGAGATGCATTTATAAGACTTATTGGCCATGGAATTCATTGGAGCTTTGGCTTGACCGGGGCGCCAAGTCCGCCTCACGAAGAGCATCCGGGGGAAATATTTTAGTATTATTCGAAAATAATTGAATGGACAAGTCTCCACTATTCAAACACATCAGATTAACACGCGTTGACCTTACTATTCCGGAATTATTAAGAAAGGGAGTGTTGTGGGCCAGTATGACCTCGAAGCATGGTGCCGAGTCTTCGACGCAAAAGTCTTCTCTCTCTTTCTTGGGCGGGAAGAGGAAGAGGCCAAGTGTTTATCATGAAACGCGGACTTGTCCCAGATGCATTAAAAAAGGAAAGAAAGAAAAACGCAGTCAAATCAGGTGTTGACATTCTCCCAGCGTTGTTCACACAATACAGATCACTCAAACTACAGAAGACCCACGAGGAACATTCAAAAACTCTTGTGCCCTCGAACTTCGAATCAAATGTAAGTCTCATCCATACCGCATGACAACCTCTTTTGCAAGGCCTGTCACCCAGGTCATATCTCAAAGAAATTGGTTACTCATAACCCCGTTTTCATTTCTCTATCTACATTTAAGGGCTTTTATTTCAATATTCATTTCAAAATGAGTTAGGGGCTATTTTTCATCAGTGTCACCATAGGATATCCAGTACTTGCGACCATTACTACTAGCATATGACTAACACTAAAGGTGACTAATGAGAGTGAGAGATGGAGAGAGAGAGAGAGAGAGAGAGCAAGGAAATTCATACTTAGATATAAATGATGAGAAGGAACTTGAGTGGATAGATCTCCATTCAGAGCCACCAGATCATTGTGTCTGCCTTTGACAATGGTAATACTCCCAAGCAATGCTGCATCAAGCTTGGATGTCATGTCCCTAGTAATATAATTATTTCTCATGTGCACTTTGTAACTATTTTTTGATATCTTCCTTTAGTAATCCAAATATTGTTATGATTCCTCCAAGAGTCTACTGCATGGTCATATTGTTGTTTTTTTTTTTTTTTTTGAGTTCTCTTTGTTCAAAACTTGACAAAAGGTACATAAGGGTAAAAGGTCATTCAAAATATGATGCTGTTATCATTCAAAATACTATAATTTTCATGTACTAACCTGTGATAAAGTCACAAAATTTTGGTTGGTATGCTCACATTTTTTTTCTTTGTAGGAAAGGAGTTGACTCACTTATAAGTAATTAAAATTCAAGAAAGAGAATGGAGAGAAAACCACTAGTTCCACAATAATCTGAACGTGAACTGTTCTTAAACAGACTTGTGCCGGAGTACCACCAAATCTGTCCACGGTATTGGCAGCCTATGAAATTTACTCTCATTCACACTATCACAACAGATCCCAAGATAGATGCTGGGTGATAGCAAGTGGCCTTTATCATTTTTGAAATGTCTGTTCTTCTGACCATTGGAGTGAAAGGAAAATAGGGAAACATCGATGAAAAATGTGAACAAGAAAGAAAGAGATTCTCAACCTTCTACAACTCTTTGCAACTCTTGCATAATACTATATATCATAAACAGAATATGTAAGCGTAGACCTTGTATTACTATGCATATTATGATATATCAAAGAATTCCATATGTGAGGATGAAACAGAATATCTAAATATGGATAACATAGTTGCCGTAAGACAAGTAATATAGAATAGTTGCATATATATGTAAATAATGCAGTATTTATCATGTTTATGAATAGCCTAGTATATCCATGTGGATAATGTAGCATATGAAAAATGCTAACACTATAATATGTTGATAATATAGTATATTGTGACTGTAAATAATAGAGTTTATAAATCAATTTACATTGAATATCGATAGACTTTTAATTCATATCACTGGTAAGATGAGAGTTTAACGATAATGTTAGGAAGACTAATGACTTGACCTTAAAGTCATAAAATTAAAGAGATAATGCGAGGTTTGTCTAGATACTAAGTCAAAAACTAAGTGTTCACATACTTGTTTGCTAAGAAAATATATACATATATATAGTGGTATTGAAATGACATTATAATCTTCAAAATTTCTACGAACATAAAATTAGTGGAACCTAATGGCAAATGATAGAGAGTGGAATATAGGCCAAATGACTATAAAATTGGAGGGTAATATTTATGAATTAACTTTACTTGAAAATGTTTCTTTAAAAAGTTTTCTTTTTTCCTAACTTTTTCCAACTGTGCAAAGAGGCTAATTCACCATTTGCCTCCTTAGTTCCTATTTAATTTATTGGTTTTAAGGGAGGCCCATAGGAGGATTCAAGAGGAGGGAAAAATTATCCTTTTTTTTAATTTAATGTTATTTTCAGTTTCAAGAACTATAGTTGTTAGACACACATACCTAATTCCACTCTTGAAGGAATATGCCCTTAAGTTCTACCAACTCATGTTACTAAAAATGTTAAAGACCAATGTTTTAGTTGACCTCCATTATATTTTATTACTCTAGCTAACCCAAGTGTTCTCCAAGAATTTCATTTTGATTTATGACTGCAAAGGCTAAATCATATTGATTCCCAGCAAATTTTCTAGATTCATGTCTCTAGGGTATTATGAGTACGTAAGGTACTCAAGTAAAAAAATTAAAGAAAAAATTATTTTCTTGTAAGTGTATATCCTCAAGCATGAATGTGTGTGTAGAAAGGTGAGAAAGCATTTTTGGAAGTGGAGCCAATTTGAATGCTTGATAAAGATATGGAAACATAAATTTTGAAGCACAAAATCTCTCTAGGAACATTGGAAAAGAACACCCTTATATAAGGCAAATTTCATCCTTAATTCAGGGCTTATATTATTCAAAAAATGGTTTTGAATGATAGTAAGAACCTATCTCTGATAAATGATAAAGCAGGCATGTAATCACTAAAAATGGTGAACAAGTTTCATTAAATAAACTTTCATATGATATATTGTTGAATTTTTTTTGGCTTATATATGGGACCATGTGATACTAAGAGGGAGTGTGAATTGAACCTCACTCAATTTTTTGGTTGGTTTTTGTATAAGTCTATCCAAAATTGTCATGTCACATACTATAGCCGTTCAATCCAACCTGCTACAGTTTCTAAGACATGTGCCCTTAGGTCCCATTAAAATTTTAGTGAAAGTCTAGTGGATTACAAGCTTCAGCCATGTTCACTAGATTTAATAGCTATGTTAACTTAGTATTTATCACAAAAATCATCTTCTAATTCATGAATTTAGGGCTTCAATCTAGAGGAACACTAAATCTTTTAAAGATTCACAAATCTATGTAAATGAAACTAAATTAACTTCCTACTTTTTCATTACTAAAGTTATAGTCATAGTTCAGTCCAAATAAAGAGTTTTACATCTACTCAAATGAACGATGATCATTCTAATTCAAGTTGTACAGTACACACGAAATACTATTCTTTGTCATTTGAACTAAAATATTTTGAAAGATGTAAAATGCTTTGCTTAAACAGTCTGGAAGCTCTTGTGTGAAGGAAACTTTGAAGGCTTGAGAAATTACATTTTATATTGAAACATGTCCAAATATGGGTGGAAGATAAATATCTTAGATTATCCAAGGCGTAGAAACTTATTTGTGAGTTTCTTGAAGGCACATAATTCCTCATATGGTCATTTAACAACATTATAACCTAAGGCATACTTGATAATCTACGGGACAAGGCTCATTTGGCATTTTTTTTTCAAGCCATATGGGATCATTCATATAAGGTT